ACAGAGGACTGCTCTTGTGTGCTGCATGAGACAGATCCAATTGAAATCCAGGTCTGACCTGAGGTAGCATGCACTTGCCCTGCACTGGTCTACACTTTGTCCTCCACATATATTGTATGATTTCCAGTTTAGTGTTTTTAAGAGATTCCTGAGTCTGAGACCAATTTGGTCTCTGATTCTTCCATATTCTCTGGGTGCCTTTTTCCTTCTGTTTCTCACTAACCCCTCTGTGAAATATTACTATATCAGTAACAGGTCATTCATGGCTTCTGAGATTCTTTGAGAGGTGTAATAGTTGTTACTTACAACTTACCGGCATCCCAAATCACTCTAAAGCAATCTACAAACCGTTGTAGCCATTAAAGAAGATGGAATAAATGCATCCCAAAGATCTGTTTAGCTGACTCCTAAAGTAGAATTGAACAAATGCTAAAATCTTTACAGATTTGGAGGGTAATGTGGTAAGCCTGCATAGTTGGTGTAAGAAACCATTCATGGTAAATTGAAAAACACATATACCAAACAAACTTGGAATTGTTTTGTAATGGATAATCTTGAAGGGCATGGATTTAAATCTAAATACTATGAATTAGGAAAGGCCCCAATGATTCTTCAGGGAAGACATAATTTTGGATCTCAGACAGGTTTCCTAAAATCTGAACAATTGAGTTGTGTGAATACAGAGAGCCAGGAATTACGTGGTAATTTGTTAACCACAAACAAAAGAACAGGTATTAAATGCTTTACAGTATGTCAAATGTGATATAATCATAACAACATTGAAACTTTCACAATAACATCATTAAAGCATTATAAAATGAGCAGTAATTGGTAACTGACTTAGTATGCTCATACATGAACAATACTGAAAATCTTTGTCAGCATGGAGCATCTGTAATTTCATTATATTTAAACTATGAATACCATTTAAAATCCTAATGACACATTCCCTAAATATATAAAAATAAGCAAGACTTAAGATGTAAAGTAGCAATTTTGAGAGAAAGGCCCGTGGAGTTTTTTTTGCAAACACAGTGCTACCTGCCACCGGAGAAACCCTTCAAATTTCAAGGAATGCTTTACTTTTTCTTATTCCCAAACGCACACTTTAAAAAATAATTTTTATTTAAAGTAAAGACATTCTTATTTTACATACCAATCCCACTTCCCTCTCCATGCTCTCCTCACATGCCCTCCATCTACCCCCAATCCCAATCTCCATCACTGCCCAGAGAGAGCGAGGTCTCACATAAGGGGCCATCAAAATCTGACACATCATTTATGGAAGTACCCAGGGACTCCCCTGTTTATCCAGGCCAAGATAGTATCTTTCCTTAGGAAATGGACACCCAAAGTCCACTCCTGCACTAAGGAAAAATATTCCACTGCAAGAGGCTCCATAGACTGCCCAGGCCTCCCAAGTGACCCACACACATTCAGGGTGCCTGGTTCTGTCCTTTTCTGGTTCTCCAGCTGTCAAACTGGGACCCATGTACTGTACTTGTTCATTTCAGGTGTTTATGTGGGTTTCCCCATGGTGGTCTTTTCCCCCTTGCTCATCATGCTCTTCTATCTACAGCTGGACTCCAGGAATTCATATCAGTACTTGGCTGTAAATCTCTACTTCTGTTTCCATCTGCTACTGGATGAAGTCACTAGAATGGCATTTAAGTTAGTCATCAATCTCATTATATTTGAAAGACATTTAAGGTAGCTTCTCCACTATTGCTTAGATTCTTAGGATTCTTAGTTGGGGTCATCCTTGTGGATCCCTGGACATTTGTGTTGTGTAAGATTTCCATGAAAATATATAATGGCTCCCTCTATATTAGGTTAGTTTTTTTCCTTCCTTTCATTCTCTGTTCTTCCCCCCAACTATAATTTTCTGATTCCTGATGTTCTTCTCCACTCCTTTGATCCTAATCTTTCTCCTCCATCCCTCACTCTCCCCATGTGCTCCCAATTTATTCAGGACATCTTGTCCCATTTCCCTTTCTGGGGGCCAGTCCTTGTATGTCTCTCTTAGGGTCTTCCTTGTTTACAAGCTTTTCTGGCATTGTGGATTGTTTGTTGGCTGTTCTTTGCCCTATGTCTAATGTCTACTTATGAGTGCATAGATATCATATTTCCTGTGTCTGGGTTACCATATTCAGAATGGCTTCATCAAAAACCAATGACCGTTTATTCTGGAGAAGATGTGGAGAAATGAGCACATTCCTACATTGCTAGTGGAGTGCAAATACATTCACATTGGAAATCAGTATGATGGTTTCTCAGGAAAATGGGAATCATTCTACCTCAACATCCAGCACTTTCATACCAAAAGGCCATCTCTTCAACTATGTTCATAGCAGCATTATTTGTAATAGGCAGAACCTGTAAGCAAAATTTACACAATGGTGTACTATTCAGCGGTAAAACAAACAAGCAAACAAAACACAATTAAATCTTGAAATTTGAAGGCAAATGGATGGGGCTAGGAAATAACTAACCACCATCTTTACAGTCACTTTTTCCTTTCAAAAACCACTTCTTCAAAGATGATTCATCATACCCAGCTATTGTCTGCCAGGAATTGTGATGGTCATATGGAAAATCTTGACACTGGTCCTTATACAACACTTATTTCTGTCTTATTGTATTGCTCCCATTTTTCACAAAGATAATTAACTAATAGAGATACAATGTTCATTTTATTTCACAGTTGTATATATTTAATTCCATACCTGATCTACACCATTGCTTTTAGGCCTTTGATGATATATCAAAAAATGATAGGACCTAATAACTTATCGGTAAAAGAGATACATGAAGAAAAACTGATGATAGTATGTGGCAGAATTGTACTTCCAATGACTTAAATGCCCCACATATCACAATATTTTTTTTAATTTTATCATTTCCAAAATATCATTAAGACAAATAAAACATTTTAGAAAGAAGCATTGTGATCTATATTAAATTTTGAAGACATCGTGATATATTGACCTCAGACAATAACAGGAAACAGCAGTCATTATTCTATTTTGAGATGAGCATTAAGATATGAATCCTTCTTTAATTTTCCAGAAGACAGACCTATAGTTACTATAGACAATAATCTCATAAAGAAATTGCTTATGTTCATTACACCCCATTGGGTATTTTCTGTAAGTATGTTTCATTGTCACTCACATATTAAAATTACTCCTCAGTGCACTGCAGAATGCTAAGCAGAAGGAGTAAATATCTGCACTGGTGAATACACAAAAAATAAGTGCATGTATGATAGGAAGGATATAAGTGTTACTGATGGTGTGGTATACAGTTCAGAAATTCTAACACAAAATGATACAAGAACACAGGCGCCTACATGTTCAGAGAGAAATGCCAATTAACTATGAATACATAGCCTACAATTCTTGTGTTATTATCGTTTCCCAGAATAACCTAAATTAATTTTTAATGCTCAATTTAAATTGTTTTTTGAGATTGATTTGTCAACATGCAAATATGAAAAGATGTGTTGTTGTTGTCTGAGTCTCTATGAATTAAGGCCATGTGTGTGTATATCAATGAATATCTAGAAAGAATAGAACTGAATTCTGTGGGTTTTCTCAGCCTGTTAAAATGGGTATTCCTTGAACATGTTCGAGCATGTCATACTGCTGAATGAAAAGGTGCATATCTATGTCCCATGAATTGGATCAGACCTTGTTGCATCACTCTTAATATTTTTATGCCAACTACTCATCATGGAGCCATGAGCCTTGAGTCAAGATGTTTATGAAAACATCCCATTTAGACATGAGTACTCCAAAGTCTCTCTGAATATTGCCCAGATATGACTCTGTTCTAACTGCCATCTACAAGAAGCTTCTCTGAAGGTCACTGAAAAAATAAAATTAGCAGTATTTCTTTCAAAATATATATTTTATAGTATTCCAGAAAAATTTATTGTGTTTTGAGAGGGGGATTGAAAGATCCATGGATTTTATTTATTCCTCAACAAATTCACATGCATAGGGAATATATCTGTGTCTTTGAAACTCATTTCCCACAGGTTTTTCTAAGCTCTACCTTTTAATATTACCTTTTACTTTGGCATATTTCTAATATTTCATAAACAACAAAATAGTATCATATGTATTAGAACTTACTTGATAGAATGCATCCTGTTTACACACTTGCCAGGTATATTAGATGCTTTTACCAGAGAGTAGCATTAGATGTAATGTCTAATTAAGTTTCTGGTAACTATCTCTAACCTGAGTACCTGTAAAGTTGCGGCTCAACCATGATTGTGAAAGTACAAGGCACTCTGACCTACCAATTGAGTTCCAAGTTTGCCTGGGTTCCAACGTGAGATTATGGCTTAAAATATGTAAAGGAAAATACAGGACAGAAACAAAAATGCAGCACAGTATGCCTCCAAAAACTAGGGCCTGTATAAATTATCTGGAAACAACATTGGCTGGTTGCCTTGGTATTATGTAGGTGTCTCACGATGCTGAATCCAGTAAACAGTCAGATCAGCCTTCTGTGTGCAATTGCCTACTCACTGTATGAAGGCACAAATCTATGAGTGTATATGAGCATCCAAATACACTTATATTTGACTTACATGAAAGTTGACTTCTAACATTTATTATATGAACAAGTCAAGTAGTAAGTTAATTGTTCCAGATTTTAATTTTCAGTTACTTTTCATAACATTTGTATGATACTTAGTGGCATTAACACCATCATGTGTGCCAAAAATATGTTCAAAGCGGCTACAGATTCATTCTTTTGGGGGAAAAGGAGACATGTTTTAAGTGCAAAAAGAAGTATAATACATGTAGTTCCCATATTTTATTTATTTCTAAGTGTTCTATTTAATGTTCCAGTTCAGGTTCATACTTTTGATACCTGAATTCAGTGATCTTCTGTATTTGATTGTACTTATAGAACCACACATACAGGGACACCCAGACACTCACACTTCCTGATTGCATTATTGGGAACAACAAAACTACTCATTTTGAATATGTATGCTCATATAATTTATTACTTTTTTAGTAAATTTCTGTAAGATTTTTTGAGTCTAATAAGACAATGCACAACATTTAGGGTAAAATTCATGAGGGTATACATAGCAAATATAAGACCGTGGTTTTTCATGTCATTTTGGTAATGACACACTAGAATTTGAATAGTTTAAAAATACTTCTTAGAATATTTTCATTACAATGTAACATAACTTGATACAATAGAAATATATTTTTTTCAAAATAGCAAATTTCAACACTGATTCATAATTCATAGTTACATTTTAATTATGTATACACTTGCACAGCCATGTGGATCACATATGATTTTAGGTCCTGAAAATTAAAGAAGTCAAAGCATACATAATAATTTGACCAAAATAAAAGTAACATTTTCAGCCACATTTGTTGGTACTGAACGCCCAAATTTATGAAAAGCTAAGGCTGTTTATGTAGCTCATTGTGTTGTTGCTAGCAAACAATAATTAGGCACAGGATGCAAAAAAAATCCTCAATGCAAATATGCATATGATTTTGTAAGCGATTACTGAGGTCAGCACTGTTACTCAGGAACACAATGCTGACCATGTGAACAGTGAGAAAAAGAATTCTCTACCATCCATGTTCACAAAACAAATCAAATCAATAATATTTTCCACTAACAGCAATGTATAGGCAGAAGTTAGTGTTCATCTTGATTCTGTCACACTACAGTCCCAAATAAACACACAGAGGGTTATATAAAATATATGCTATTTGTTCTTTGGCACAGGCTACATTGGCTGGTTCCTACCAATTACTAACCATTTGAACTAATCAGTGAATCTCCAGGTTGTTTTGGCTTACCAGAAAATGACGAGACAACCCACCTTCCCTGCAGCTACATTAGAGCTGTCTCAAGACTTACAATACGTGTTCCTCTCTCAGGATTCCTTTCTCAGTTTATATTGCCTATACATTCTCTCTTGCTATATCCTGCCTGGCATTTGGCCAGCACATTGTTTTTCCTCAACAAGGAAGAGAAACATATAGTTACATCATACAGAAGGACATCCCACATCATGTGCTCTTTGTGTCTGGAACAACAAGGAAATTTATATTTAAAATGGTACAATTATGCATTAGGAAACTTAATAAGCAAAAAAGTACAGTTAACAATATTTAGTATGTTAATATTTGGCAAATTTAAAGAAAACAGTCTACATATTTCCTATCTTTTTTACTTTAAAGCTTTATATGCAACTTATTTATTACATAACTAAGGAAATTCTTAACCATAACTATTTGTCTTCAACACCACCAAAGACTGCAGAAGGTCATATATAAACTCTAGGTTTTCAGAGAGATCTTGATGCCTAGAAAGTCACCCAAGCATCCTCTGCAAAATTGTGGAATCCCTCTTCAGCTTATAGGCCCAGATGTCTGATAGTCTTTTTAATAAAGCAGGTTAATGAAGAATAATCCTGAAATTTGGGAAGTTCAGCAGTCACTTTTCTTTGTAACCTTCTTGTCCAGTTTTGAAAACTTGCTGTCACCAGTCCAGGAAGTGAAGTTTCTTGTCCAAATGGCTGGTCATGCCATGTCAAAGGCATACTCCACAACGACTTTCTTTGTTGCCCATCTTCAACTTTGATGTAAAATGATGTCTTAAGAAGGCGATCATATATCAAGATGATCAATTGTGGTCACATCAAGTAATGTCTATACTCAGTTCTTTTTTAAATGAACAGTGTTTTAAAAGAGAAAAAAACTTAGCAATCATTTGCAGAATGTTAATGCCAAAATGAATATAAAAGAAAAAACAACAACCAAAAAACCTAAAAAAGCTAACAATGATGATTTCATTAAAACCGATCAATGTTAGGCATAGAATGCAGCTTTCTCAACAAGTACAACAACCTTGATCTGTCTCTATAATCACCCTTTTTGGCAAAATTCTTATTTTGCACACTATTTACATAGTTTAAATTATAAGCATAAAAATCCACAATAAACACTTTGTTGAAAGAGCACTATATAAAATATTTGTATGCCATAGGATGGAATATTTACATTTATGAAAGAAAAATAAACAATATAGCTATGCCTAGGAGCCTAGAAAGGGTAGGTATGTTTAGATGCTCTATTTACAAGTAATCCCTAGAAGACCACACATGTTATTACTTAGGTAAGGATGACTATCAATCAAGAAACTACAGGATTTAATCCAGGAGTGTATGGCCCCATCATTCTGAATGTTTTCCATGAAAACATTCTATGTTGCTTAACTAAAATCATATAATTACAAAATTATTTACAGTTTGATACGTGGGAACCCGTTAAGTCATCTGTGCCTTTCCTAAGCTTGGAATAGGCAGCTTGATGTTGCTCAGTGTGAAAAAAAACAACTTTATAACTACAATCATAAAATTACATTAGCAGTAGAAACATCACTTTTATAAACACAGAAAAAAATCCCTAAAGAAAAGTAAAAATGATCTTACTATTCTGAGGAAAAGGTAAGGGGACTCACTATAGCAGCGTTTCACAACTGCAGTCATGAAACTCCTGTTTCATGAAATAACATAAGGATACACAAAATATAAATTACAATATAGTCTACTAATATAATCTCCTAAAATAAGAAACTAAAATAAAGATTATATACACATAATAAACCTAACATGCAAATATTCTCAGCATACAACTGCGTTCTAACAAAGCACCCTTTAAATGATCACCTGATGACCTATACATATACTTTTATTGGTAATATTGTATCTGCAAACACTCACATTGAAACTTAAAGATTAATCATACGTTTTTAGTTAAATAGCTACTACCAAAATTTAATGTGTAATTTATTTAAAAGGTAACCAAAAGTTAAACATTAACTAAGGTTACACTGCTGTAATATAAACCAGGCCAAAGAGAAATATTTTCTGATAGTAACTCTGCAAAGAACAAGACTAAAAGAAAGCCTACAGCTAACTTGCTCTGCTTTCTAGGTAGCAACAGAATAGCAGGGTGTACTCAATAAAAAACTGGCAGCCATAAACGTATTGATAAGTATTTCAGATGTTAGTAGGAGGAAATTTGGTGAATCAATTTAAGAAAATCCTTATTACTCTACAGAGCTTTATTAGATCTTTGGATTCCCTGGCAAATGACTTCTATTACACTTTGCTGCCTTTAGTGATTTACTTTACTTAGCATTTCAGCAAGTCTCTTCATGAGTCATCAATTTAACCCTGTATTTCCACTCTTTGTTGGAACTACTCTGCAATAAGGTCTTGTCCTAATGAAGACTACTTTTTTTTATATTACACAAATTTCACATATTTGAAGTCAATTTAGAGTATACTTTTTTTGTATTTTGGAAAGGATAATTTAGAAATCCAAATTTTTAACAAGAGTCAGCATTGGTATATTTCTACATGAAATATTTAACCGGGCTAATGGTTTACACATGTGATCCCAATGTTTGAGAATTCCAGGCACGAGTATTACAGAAAGGACAGAGTTGTCTACATGTCTAGTTCAAGGTTAGTACTGCCCTGTCTCACAAAAATAAAATAGTCATGTTATGAAAATTGTGCCCTTGCTGAATCTGAAAGTCTTAGATTTCACTGGTGGATAAATAAGGGATTTGTAACTAGGGAGAAACCTTGCAACTTAAAATACATTTTATTAACTTGGGATCTAATTCCTTTCTCTCCAAATTAATGTCTATAGTCAGTTTTTAAAAATAGAAAAAGTATATAAAAGAAAAAAATTAAAAATCATTGGCAGAATTTGTTAAAGTTAGGGCCAGAGATGGTTTCAAAAGATAAAACCAAACAAACAAACAAAAAGAGATATAAAACAACTACCAGTGAAGGTTGCACTAAAGAATATCTATACTATAAGCTTGGACTACAGCTTGCTCAGGAGGTACAAGGTACTGCATCTGTCCTTGTAATCCACATCTCTGCCAAAACTACTGATGTCATGCTATACAAAGAGTTTAATTACACACATAAAAAACCAAAATAAACACTTTTTGAAAGACCACCATAGGGTGCATTTGCATATCACAGGCTGGAATATATACATCTATGAAAGAAGAAACATTACACCTCTTTCTATGAGGCTGGAAAGTGTATGCATGGTTAGATGCTCTATTTACAAGTAATTCCTAAAAGACTACACATGTTGTTACTTAGGTCAGGGTATTAATCAATCAAGAAACTACAGGATTTAATCCAGGAGTGTACGGCCCCATCATTCTGAATGTTTTCCATGAAAACATTCTATGTTGCTTAACTGAAGTCATCTAATTACAAAATATTTACAGTTTGATACATGAGAACCCACCAAGTCATCTGTGCCTTTCCTAATCTTGGAATAGGCAGCTTAATGTTGCTCAGTGTGAAAAAAAAAACAACTTTATAAGTACTATCATAAAATACATTAGCAGAAGAAACATTACTTTTGTAAACACAGAAAAAAAATCTCAAAAAAAAGAGAAGTAAAAATGATCTTACTAAACTATTCTGAGGAAAAGGTAAGGGGACTCACTATAGCAGCGTTTCACAACTGCAGTCATGAAACTCCTGTTTCATGAAATAACAAAAACACACACAAAACCTGAATTACCATATAGACTACTAATATAACCTCCTAAAATCAACATTTAAAATAAAATTGTATACATACATACATATATATATATATATATATGAAAACCAACATGCAAATGTTCTCAGCATAAAACTGGATTCAAACAAAGCATGCTTTAATGCTCACCTGACTCCCTAATTCAAGCTATATCTTCCTTTAGTTCTTACCAACCAGTCTTAATGTTATTACAGTGCTTTTTTTAATCCTCAGCATTGAGAGTTAAATATTTATTTTGTAATGTCCAATTAAATTATTACTATTAGTTTTTATTGCATAATCCAATAGTATATTTTGTTAATTTTCAATGCCAATAGTTTGTGCTACTATTTTTCTCCTACACTTTAAAGATACAGTACTTTAGTATTTTCATTCCTGTTTTATCAACACTACTTTCTTAATGTTCAGTAGTAAAACCATCTTTGTGAACTATTCTATTGCGAGTGCATACAACAAGCTTTTCTTCTGACTACCTTCAACTGTAATGATATCTAGTTGTAGTTATTCTATCAAATGCAGAGAAACTTTGCATTTAGTATACAACACAAGCAAAGGAGACACATTTGAAAATACAATCCATCCCACCCAAATTCAACCCCACTTTTAGACAAGGTTTCAGATACATGTATCTGGCTGGCTTCAACTATACTATCATGCCTATGCTAAATTTGAACTCCTGATCTTCTGCCTCTACCATCCAAGTGCTTGTTTGTATGTGTGCACTATCATGTCCAACTTTCTGTCATTTAGTTGGATGTTAAGAACCAGCCTTTCTTAGATTACTAGACATTAGATTTTTTCTGGCAATAACAGTTATTCTGTCTGCTGGGAAGATGATATATCATGACTCTAGCCTCCCAGAAATCCCAAGGGCATGATTACAAGAGATCATTGCAGTTAACAAAATGAAGTTAAAATGAAATGTAAATAGGTCGTCTTGCATGTCTGTAATGCTATCACCAACATGTAGAGGCAGGTATTCTTCAGAGTTCATGGTCAGGAAATTTTACATGAAGAGTTGCAGGTATGTGGGATTCCGGGATTTTATATACAGTTGATTACCTAGTGTGCTAAAATATATTCCCAAGTGTTTTTGATTGTGTAAGGTTTCAGTTTGTTCTAAAACCATCTCTATAATAAGCCTCTATATCCCTGCTAGAAAACAAGTCACAGACAGATTGCATAAAGTTACTAAAATAAAACAAAACAAGAACTGAAGGTTAAATATTACATTTAAAAGTGATAATCATTTATATACTGTTAGTTAGTCATAGGCTGAATCTCAGGTGTGACCCATGACAAAGGCTCATTCTATTTATGGCATACATTTCAGGCAAAAAAGAACACTGGTAGTATGATGTATTACTTTAGTTAACCCAATTGTGGCATATGACACCACTCTAGGCTGATTATGACTCATCAAGCAAATATACCATTCTGTTAGTTTCTCATCAAAGACTTAAGTGAAAATTATGACCAACCAGCCACATTTTGAAATGCAATTTAGCATAAATTATATTCAAAGAATCTAAACAGTAAACTGGATTAAATAATGCAGAAGAGATACATGAAATACAAAACCTTTCAAACCTTTGCAACTCTTACATGGAGATTCAAGCTGAAACCACTGAGCTTTATAATCAAACTCAGGTTCCATTTTCTTTTATAATCATCTTTGCTTTGCTTTCGTTTGTGTACACCCAATGCTGTAAACCAAGAAGAACATTCTGTACTCTGTGTGCAGGATCACTGGCTGTATCTTCTGATTCAGACAAACTCTGGGATGTGGAGCTGTGTGAGGCAGAGCTGCAGGGGGGGGAGGAGCATTTGGGAAAACACAAACAATGCATTAGCGGGAGGTGATATTTTCCCCCAGAATTCCACAGACTGAATGACTCTAACACAGCATCCAAAATACACGCTGTCATACTTTGCGTTTGGGCAATTGATATCTGAACACAAGTATTTTGGCAGAATACCAGAATATAAGAGTAAGGGTCAGAACTGATTTTGGATCTTAATGGTCTTTGCTAGTAATTCCAGAAGACTTGCAGGATCTATGCTAAATCGCTAACAAAACGAACTAACAATTGATTTCCTGGAAATCTCAACTCTTGCAGTTGAAAAGGGGTCAGGAGCACTAGAGACAAGTATGTCAGCAAGCTAATGAGGAGACTGGAGAAATCAACACAACTGTGAAAGCTGAGGAGGAACACTTTGGATTATTTTTTGTTACATAACACCAAGTAGCTGAGAGAAGGGAGATTTGCTAATTCTGGTGGGATTTCATTAATAGTTTCCTCAAAGGTATTAACATTCTAAATTCTCAAAGGTCTCCCATCAGCGGGGATACTGTGGAGCCTGTTACAGCCCAGGTTAAGGGTGTGCAGGGCTCCCCCTTTCCACAGCTAGTCAAGCCCCTCCTGCAAGCATTTCCCTGTGAGGCTGAGTACCTGGAGTCTGAGACAGAGTGGAGACTGGTCGAGTCCCTCCAGCAGCAAGCCTGTGTTGTCAAGCCTGTTGTTCCTGTCCATCAGCATGCTCAGGCTGCTGTGAGTCAGCAGCTTAGATTCCAGCGCCATGAGCTGCTCCCTGCTCTTGTCCACGAGCTGGAGGTGGGGAAGGCCGCTGCTAACCCCCCTGGCAGGGATGTCAGATGGGGGGCGGTGGGGCAGCAGCAGCCACAGGAGCTCGGGTCCCAGACCCATGATTGTGTCCTAGTTCATGTCCAGGAGCTGGAGGTGGGGGAGGCAGCTCCTCAGAGCCCTGGAAGCATTTTCAGATGTTTTTAAAGCAGCAGCAGCCACAGCAGGGCCACCCGCAATCCCAGCAGCTCCTCTGTGTTCCCAACATCTTCCACTCCAGAATCAGGCCTACAAGCTGAGGAGGGAGCAGCTGAGTTCAGTGTCTCAAGTCGTGGCCTCACCCATCTGACTGGATTCCCAGACTGCTCCCAGCTGACACCGTGGCACCTCCCGGAACCGGAAGTGTCCTCTGTGTGGGAAGTGACTGGGCTAGGGGGCGTTCTGCTGCTGACTCACCCCTTTCTCTAAGTTAATGAAATGCGGACTTTTTTCATCTGATGAACTGAAAATGTGTTCAAACATTCTGTAATACAGAGCGAATGTAGCGAGATCTTTGACAGATGATTATTTCACCTGTGAGATGTGATATGTGAGAGAGTCCTCTGTGCATCTCATTTTCCACTGCATGTGTTAGGATCACAGACAGGGTTCAACACAGTCACTTTTCCGGGTCCTCATATTTCAGTGCAGCTTCCAGAAACGTTAAGTTGATCCTTGAGAGTGAACTCTGAGAACAGCATCAGAGATGAACAGAGGAAAACTGGAAGGTTTCAAAGTGTTTCTTTACAGTACCTTCCTCGGGTTACAGTAAAGTGATTTTTTTTTTTACCTAAAGCCAAGATATTGATAGCTGTGTAGATGGTCATTCAGCAATAGACTTATGTTACATGTATGAACAGCTGAGTCTTATGTCTCCAATAAGCCTGAGAATCGGTGTAGCAATCTCAGGACTTGAGAAGCAGAAATCTGTGTTTGCTGACCATCTAGTTGAAATTACAAAGTGAATTTATTAAATGAAAACAATGACTCAGATAGTTCAGAAGTACTATCTGTAGTAATTTGTAGAGATACAGTATTTATATTCTTGCTGTATTTGCTTCCCAGGATAAAGTATAAACAAGATTACCACTTATGTCTAATAGGGTTCATATAACAAACCACACTGTTTCAATAAATTTAAAATTAAGAGCACATGAGGTTATTGGGTTTCTTTAAGAATGCAGGTGTATGTGTATTGGTGTTCCTCCATCCAGCATGCCACACCTGGAAAATCTTTACCCATAAGAACTGAGAAGAAATGTAGATCCTGCTATATTGAACCAAGGCAAACAGAGGTATGAAAGTATGTATTTATGTATGTATGTATGTATGCATTATATACACAGTGTACCCCTCCTGCAAATGACAGCAGAATTTCTTGAAGCAAGGAGTATCAGCTGAATTTCGTGCCATATATTTTTATATGATATGTTACATAATATATATATATATAATATTTTATATTTTACAAAAATATATCCAATAATATGCATAGCTATTAACACATTTTGACTAACATATTTCTTACAGTTTTTGAAATAATAATATACTTTTGTAATCCCTCCTGTCTTTAGTATATGTGACACTTGCTCACTTTCAAAGCAATGGCCCATTTTTATTAATTATTTTTACAAGCATACATGTTAATGTGTAAACACATATACTCGTAAATATATAAGTATAACTTGTGTCATCATTAACATATAAAATGTCTTGTGATTTCATGACTGTCAATAGATACTGAATATGCAGTAGGTGACTGTTCTGACTCTCACCATCACATAAAGACTCTTAGTACCATGTGAAGGGTTGAGAGTCATTGGATATTATAATGTTTCAGATGATTTTTACTCTTCTGGCCTTTGACTCATTTCATTGGAGAGGCACCACCCAGTTCCCAATGAATCACACTTGGTAGGTAGCTTATTCTTACTAATGAGTACCCAGTATAACTTTAGTCAGTGCTTCTACCTTTTCCTTCTGGGCTTTTATCTTTCATAATTTGGAATATTTTAATTTCCTTCTTGCTCTCTGGCTATCTGTGTTGTTAGGTACATGGACCCTGATGTTCTCCTCTTCTTCTTTTCTTACTGTACCTGTTCTAGCAATCCTCATTCCCCTTTATACTATCTTTATACATTGCATGTTATCTGAATTTTCATATTATACCTGACTATATTTTTTGGTAGGGCGTACTATTCTGTATAAATATCCTTCTCAAACGATGTAGAGTAACTTTCACTGCCATAAGCATAGGATATCTTAAACAGGCAGAAATACCTGTAAAGTGAATAACCATTAGGAGAAATATGGACATGACCATATTTGTTTGATTTTCTAAGTATGAGAAAGACTGTATTTTGGGGATTCAATTTTCAAAAATTTAATTTCCATTAGTAATATTTGAGCCCTTGTTTTCACAATATGAAATGGTATAAACTGTAAAAATTTTCCTTTGTGTATCAGAAGGCCACTTGTAGATTCGTCTCCTCTTACATTACTGTAATAGTCGATATTTAAGTCTTTGCATGTTAAATTTAATTGCATATGTGTTTATTTTGTGTCTGTCTTTTTTCTAAAGTATTTGTGAGGTAGTAGGGAGCTAGCATTATTTCGATTGTTTTTTTCTTTTGGTTTAACTTTTTCAAAATTGGATTTTCTGTATGTTAGCTGTGGCCTCGTTTTGCTGTCACTGCAAACAAGGCACTCTGTAGACTATGTTTACCTTGAGCGTGTTGAGATCCAATTCATTCCATATTCATCATTCAGTTTAATTCAGTACACAAAATTTTAAAGGTGATTTCCAGGAACTCTACCTTCATAACCATCATAAGACTTTTAAAGAGCATACTTCTTACACATCCTATGCCCTGGCCATTAGATAGTCTGCCTTAATGACTGGTAGGATGGTCCCAAAGAACCCCAGTGTGATTATTTGTCATCAAACCCACGGTAAGGTTTTATGGAATCAGATACATAATGGCTGTAAGTACAATGTGGCATTATTGTAAAATCTAACATTGGGGAAAGTTTGACACAAGAAAAAGATAAAATGGGTAGAAATCACGAGGTTCACTATGTAGAATAATAGCCCTATCAAGAGGCATCATATTCAAGAGAATTATCTTTGATACTGTCTGTACTAACTCTCTCTAAAATAACATCAAAATATTAATGTAGAAAATAGATGACATTCAGTGGAATCTGTATCCACAAATTAATTATAAATGTGGAATAGATATCTTGAAAGAAACAAAACAGCATTGCTTTCATAATTATGCCTCATTTCAAATGCAGGTGCATTTACTAAGGACATCACTCATCCTACAGAACTCTTTCCCTTATTCGTCTTCTCCCTCATACAGTAAAATTTTCAATGGTTAAAATAAAACTTAATACATTAGAATATTTAAATACTAAGTAAATAACAATTTAGAATTTGTTTCATGTAAAATGAAATATCCTTCAGAATGAGAAGACAGATAGACTTTGCCAGTGTAGTAATCTAGTATGGACACAGCAGAATGAGCATTCTGCACATTACCTTACTAAACAAAGAATCATACCGCTGGGAGAACCTGTCTTCCTCACTAAAATCATTGGGGTGATTGCTTTCTCTATGTGTGTACTTCTCTCAACACCATTGTGATTGCCGTTTGCCTCCTTACTCATTCCCAAAACCATCACATTTGGTTTGATAATGTGAAATCACAGACTTTTACATTTTAAAGAGAAAATCACAGTATTTTATTGCTAGCAAGTGTATATGTGCATTTGCCTAATTAGATGAAGTGTCCTGTAAGAAAAAATAAAAAAGATAAAACTAGACTTGAATTTATTTATTCTTTTTGTTTGTTTGTTTTTTCGAGACAGACTTTCTCTGTATTGTTTTGGGTGCTATCCTGGAACTTGCTCTGTAGACCAGGCTGGCCTCGAACTCAAAGATATCTGCCTGCCTCTGCCTCCTGAGTACTGGGATTAAAGGTGTGTACCACCAACGCCCGGCTAGACTTGAATTTTAACTGGATTTGTGCATGAATTAATATATACAAAAAGGAATGGTGAAAAGGAGTATAAATTTATATGTCTTTTATGAAAAACTTACCTCTGATATTATTGATTTATGACCAGGTTACTAGTAGGAACACTGAGCTGGTTGGGTAGATTGCAACAGCAGATAGGTCATATGAGCAAGTCTTGTTGTTGTTTGTGTTTGTTGATTAATAAATATAACAATGTGTTTCAGTCTTAACATCTAATCAATGTTGTCTCTTTGAAATCAGGACACAGGGCATGCAGAGGAGAAGCAACTGCCTGTCAAACTTTATTTTTACGCACCTTTTATACATAAGCTTTTGCAAACTGTCTCACAATCTTCAAACCCACAGAACCACAAAAGGCATCAGGAGATGTCTCCTTCTGTGAAACAACGTCTCTACTATATTTAAATTATTATGTAGTTACAAGCATTTCCCTATATCTTCAGAATAGCGGAACACAGTTTGATGACCCTGAGAGCTACTTCCTTATCTTTAGTAAAATATTATGGCAGATCTTTTGAAATCTGTTAATAGAAGCATGCTTCCAGTATTCTTGGAATATCACGTCTTGTAAGGGTGATCTGACAAAGCCATCTAAGTAAAAGAGCAGGATAGGGAGATTAGCACAGGTGCGCTATGCAAGGAAAAGCACTGTACTATTGCTTTCTTTTTGGAAGCCTGCCACGCTTCTGACTTTTCAACTTGAGTGTAAGTTCTTTCTCTGGTAACTACATTTATTTTATTCCATTTAGCATCGACCTCACTTGATAAAGTATCATGCTTCAAACTATACCTCCTTTGACTCAACAGGAGCCTGCAACTCACTAAGCCAGCTCCATATCTCCACAATCCATTTTATTGGATCATCATATATAGTTACTTGAAGAAACTGACACAGGAAGATTGACATGTTTCTGGCCCAGTCTGCCTTTTTACTGAATAGCTACAGTGAGAGAGGTCCAGAAATAAGTGAAGTCTTTCTCATAAAGAATGAAGATGAGTTCCAAAAAATCCAGAAATTCATTTGTATCTCCTGCCAACACTGGGTGTTTAACCTGTTGTCAATTAGAATGACAGTCTCCAAGAAAATTTAATATGTTTTGGCTTTTTTCTTACACTTTCCCCAAGTTTAGTACAAAACAAAGGAAGTGGAAAGAAATAGATGAGACAGCACTTGCAATCATTTTGAATCAATTTGCCCAGAGATCATTGAGTCTTGAATTTAGGGAGTTGAATTTTATGAAAAATTCAAAGAAGAGCTATTACCAGTACTACTCAAAATATATCACACAGAAAAACTGAAGGGTTAGTGCACATCTCTAT